GCAGACGACGGCGAAGAAAGCCCCGAGTACTCGTCGGGAGATTACGAAGATGACGAACAGGAAGAAGAAGACTCTTGGCTTGACATGCGGCGCCGATCCAGCAGCCATGCGTTCACGCCGCGCCCTGACAGACAGAGCATCCTCCAAAGGGGTCAAGACGAGATTCAGCCCGGACTGGCGTCACCCACAACAGCCATTGCCTCAGCCGTCAGAGACCAGTTCACCGCCCAAATCCAACAGTTCCAGCAAGCCATGACGATGCACTTCCCCAACCTCCCGCAGATGCCTGCTCTACCTAGGATGCCAATGCTCCCCGACTACCATGCATACCTCCAGCAGAATCCTCTCATGGGTAGGGTCACCTCGCTCATGCCGGGCATGTCGGGCTCACGGCCTGGATCGGCAGACGAGGAGACACCTAGGCCCATGGACGGAAGATGGTGGGATCTATCATCGTTCCGGAACACCAACAATAACTCGGCACCGCCGCCGTCCTATGACGAAATTTTCCCGCAAGATGAACTTGACAAGAAACAAGCCGCCGCCCTCGGAGCCGCCGCTGAGGCTGCTGCCGATATCAAATGTGCGACCATTTATGACACGCAGACAACCGAGGTCACGGAGGCATCGTCAAGCACGGCGCCAGTGCCAAGCGTACTCAGAATTGGACGCAAGAGTGCCATTACGAAGGAACAGCAACAGAACTTCCTCCGGGCCCACGAGGCTAAATTCAAGGGCATGCGTAGCGACAAGAACCTGTGGTTCATTTGGGTAAGCTCCACCACGCATGCATTCCAAATTGGCCCGTTAGACTGACTTGAACCAGATTCCCCTTCTTACATGTATTTTGGCTGCTATGTTATACAGCCGTTATCCTCACTACTTTGCCGCGGCCTGGTCCATGGTTGGATCTAAGGTGGACCAGGTTCCGGAGATTGTCAGGAACGTTCAGGACCGTGTTGTTGAGGTCCTGTAGACCATTTCGACTTGCTTCAAACCAATCACGTCACGCATTCGGTCAAATGTATGGCCTTGTTCGGTTCTTGTTTTTCGGATCAAAGGGGAGAAACGGAGTTGATATTTGCGGGGGACATATGTGGAACAGAGTTTCGCCCCCTACCTACAGCGACTAGGACTGGGATAAGATGACCAGCACGGCCAGGGAATGCCGTGTCGGTTTTTTGGGTCTGGGTTAAGGACTTGGACGTTGCGCAGCGCCGGTACGGAAAGAAGTTCCCCACGGAACCAGTAAGTCATCTATCTCACTTGGGCAATTTCAGCCTTTCAAATCTTTCTTGATAGTTCACTTTGTTATTTTTCTTCATTCGTTGGAGTACCGCGAGGAGTCTCGATGCATGTAGCTCTGCTGAGCGAGCAGACACGGTCCAGAGGATCAAAGATGGCTGTGTCGAGTATTATATAGCAAGGGGTGCTTTTCCAACTATTTTACATAGAGGCAGACATTATCGATCTAGGCCGGGGAATAATGTCGACACTGGTACATTTGTCCTGTGCGTTCAGGTCCGTCCACTGAAGTGATGTAACATGTAAATCGTTCTGAACATGTCGGAAGCTATCTCGACATGGTCTCACTTGATCTCCAACTAGAGAGAGTGCTCCTTTTCCAGACGCCCAGCCATGGCCTCGATCTCAACCAATCTCTCCTCCCTCCATCGCCAAACACCCGCCAACACGGCCCCCGGCCCGACGACGAACTCCAAGTTATTGACCAGGACGTAGTACGCCAGAAACCTTTTGAGGTTGACCCTGCCGTGCCGCTGCTTCTGGACGTCGTAGACGACGAGGGCGCACCACAGCCTCGAGGAGCCAAAGATGAGCCAGAAATCCCACTGGAAGATTTGAAATAGGCCTGTGCCGACGTCGCCGGTTGAGATGTCGCTTAGTGGAAGGAATACGTTTGTCAGGGTTAGGGATTTGTTTTGGGAGGTGAAGATTGTGTAGAGGGTGTAGAAGTGGGATGCTGAGGCGACGAGGATGGCGGTGGAGTAGAGGCGGCGGAGGACAAGGGTTGTTTGCTTGCGGGTGGCCGTCTTCGTCTTCTTATTTTCAGGAGTTTGTTTGGGTCTGTAAACAGTGCTTGCCAGGAGCCAAATCCCGGCGTTGACGAGGACGGGCACGACCTGCCAGAAGGCGATGAGGTTCTGCGCTAGGCGGGGGAAGGACCAGGGATAGTACATTGCCGCGGTCGGGAGGGCGAAGATGAGGAGGGAGGCCGGGAGGAGGGCATTTGCGAGGGGGAGGGGCACGTCGCCGCCCGAGACGAGGTAGGTTTTCCGCGTGGTGAGGAGGGTGTAGGCGAGATGGTAGAGGGGAATTATGACGCCGCCGCCTACTGTTTGATAGAGCGCTGCCCAGGCGGCGTGACTGTGTTATCGTGTTAGTTTTGCTTGTTTGTGCTTCTGAGCTTTGGTGGGTGGGTTGAGAAAGTCGTGATGGAGGGAGGGAAGGGGGGGCTTACAAGCTGAGGAAGCTCCATCGGTTCCTGGAGCGGTAGGCCTCGACGTTGAAGACCACCACGGCCGGGAAGAAGTTGAGCAGGAAGTGGATCTGCTGGATCCTTGCCGGCTCGTTGAGGCTCAGAGGTCCCTGAGCGAAGGAGGCGACGAGGTAGGTGAGGCCGAGGTCGAGCGGTTTGAGGCCGGTGTAGGTCGTGTAGAGACGGGAGCCATCTTGGAGTTTCTCCGTCTCGACGAGGTCGGTGAGGTTTCGGGTAAAGGAGGTGTGGCCTGGTTGGATGCGGATGAAGTAGACGCCCGCGACTGCGAGGAGGGCGAAGACTGTTGTGAAGAGGGTTGTTAGGAGGGGGTGTCGTGAGGACCGGGGCGGTGAGGATGTTGGGTTGGCCATTGTTGGGAGAGGTTCTTGTGGCGTTCGATGGAGAAGTCCTTGAGAATGCTAGACTTTGGCGATAGACGGGTGAAGTCTCATGATGAAAATGAAGCTCGAGATTCAGTTCAAATAAACCATACATGTAAGACGGACAGATCCTTTGAGAAGTCGAATGACCCCACACCGTCAGCAATAATTGGAGTCCGCGGCGTGAGTGGTTGACGGACTCGGCTGAAGATGCGCCTATGCGGCATGGGTTTCCGTGTCCGTCACTGTCGGCCGACATCTGACATATCATCCATCCTACTCCCTTGCTGATTGATCCAGTTTTTTGTGGTTTGCGAATGTCCCCTGTAACAGTCTTGCATCGCAGTTATCTTCAAGTCTGGGCAGAGACTGTTGTTAGCTTATGAGGAAAATAAAGATGCTGAGTGCCACAAGTTGGGTCTCATTTCCACGGAAGTAATTCCCTAGTTACTGAGTGCCTCCATTCGTCTATCTATCCTTAGAATCGGAGGTGAGGTTCCGTTGCAGTACTAACTTAGTCAACCATGAAAAGAAGAGGTATAACATCACGGCGCGATGCTGATCGAGGACATTAGTTTGATGTTAAAAACATGTAAGAAATCAAGTCCCGGTAATGTCAGAAAGCAAAAGCCAGATTGAAGCTCTTTCTCTTCTCCTTCAGCAAAGTTGAGCCTGATCGTGAATGAGATATTATTAGCTAATCGATCATCTCAACTGTTTCCCCTTCAATCAACGATCATTCTGGCAGATTTGCGAGTTAGATTACCCGGTGTTGATGCTCTCGCCAAATCTAGATTTATACTAAGCCTGAATTCTAGAGCTATTCCTCAATGGACTTCCTCAGATTCGCTGCCTTTTCAGGATAGACTATGCTACTCCACAACTCGACCGCGCTGATTCCCCCATCAACGAGGATGTCAACTCCATTGACGTAGCCGCATTTCACAACGAACTCAATCGCCTGAGCAATCTCATCCGCCGTGGACGCCCTTTTCAAAGGATGGACCTTTAGCGCAGCAGTAATCATATCACCCACCATATCCACCGACTTTTCTGCCGTAAGCATGTTCGTCTCCGTCATCCCGGGACTAACACAATTAACCCTTACACCTCTGCCGGCATACTCCCTCGACGCCGCCGCTGCCTGAACCCGCAGGAAGTTGGCCTTCTTCGCAACATAATATGCAACTCTGCTCTTTCCACTAATAATATGATCAAGCTCCTGATTTGGAGACAAAAGGGATGAGAGCGGTGCCGTAGCGAGGTGCGTCTCCAGCTCTGGGGACATGGGTGGGCATAAGCCTTGCGCTATACTACCGGTACAAACAAGCGAAGAACCCGCAGGCATGACAACTTCTTTGCCAAACGCATCAATGACATTCGCGGTGCCCCGGATGTCCACTGTCAGAATCATCTCGACTGACCCGACTACCGCACTGACGCCGGATGTCAGTACGACGGCCTCGATGGCGCCCAGGGCTGCGGCCGCCTTTGCGACGGCTGCCACGGAGTCATAGGAAGACACGTCGACCTGTTTCGTGGTAACCTCAATGCTCTTCTTTTTGAGGGATTCGGCCCCTGCGTCGAGGGTGGAGGGGGAGCGGCTTGCAAACAGAACTCGTCGTCCAGGGCCAAGGCGGTGGGCTGTGGCAAGACCGATGCCGCCGCCGCCAATGATGACAAGAACTGGGAGTGAATGAGATGCCATAGTCACAAGGTGGGCTGTTATTGACGGAGTATCTGAGTGAGGATGCGAGAAGTCACTTATTGGTATTGGTGCCAAGGAAGGAATGCCGCGATTATTTATATGCACACCTAGCACTTCATGCGCATTCACGTCTAGATCAACAGAATTCAGATTTTATCTGATACGAAACATGAGGAGCTATCGATGAATTGCCGTCGTCAATGAGAAATGCTTCTAAACTTAAAAATCCAAGGATGTAATCGCCGCCTCCGTCGGACATTTAGATCCTACCCCGGAGACTTGCAGTGTCATCAAGGCTGACTGGCAGCTCTACAATGTGCAATTCCCCAAAGCTTAAAAGGCTAGGTGTCTTGCCAAGCTCTCATCATGAAATAGCACTTCAACAAATCAGTTTCAGGATCATACGCATTACATCATGAGCAGTGTTATTGTACCCGCAGCCAGTCCTCGCCTGAGGCTAGGATGGATAGGTAAGTTGGATCTTCCCGTTAGAAATCCCATTACTTTTCACCTCACTAACACGCGCAAATAAACAGGTTTGGGCTCCATGGGGCTGGGCATGGCGACCAACCTACAAAAGCACCTTTCGCAGTCGGGCGCGCCGAATCTCAGTTTCTACAATCGCACCAAGTCCAGGGGTGCAGCCCTGGAAACCTTGGGTGGTGTTTCTCTCAGCCTTGATGAGCTTACCGCGAAATCTGACATCATCTTCTTGTCTCTAAGCGATGGAAATGCGGTTGAAACAGTGCTAAACACAATACTAGAGTCAAATGGTGCGACTATCCCTTTTGACAAGAAAGTCGTTGTCGATACCTCGAGCATTCATCCCAAAATTTCAGCTCAAGTGAGATCGAGGTTGAGAGAAAAGGGTGCCGAGTACGTCGCGGCTCCTGTCCTTGGTGCCAGCCCCGTAGCCGCAAAGGGACAACTTTTGTGGATATTGGCAGGGGCAAAGGCTGCCATCGACGTCGTCAACCCGTACATTGTCGGGGTGATGGGTAGAGGGATCTTGAGACTCGGAGATGATGTGCGGCTCGCAAGCAGTCTGAAAGCTGTTGCGTGAGTAACTGAACCTCCAGACATTTCTTTTTCTTTTTCTTTATGAGAGAAAAGGTACTAAGACATATCAAACAGAAATTCACTTGGAATCGGTATGATAGAGGTCATTGCTGAGGCTCACGTCCTTGCGGAGAAGGCTGGATTAGGGGTTGCCGACGTCGAGAACTTGATCCAGCAGCAGCACGGCTTGCCAGGGCTCATGATCTCGCAGCGTCTGACCACCGGGGCGTACATGCCACCACGAGGCGAAAGACCGTGGGCAGATGTTGGTCTTGCGGTTCTAGGCGGGCAAGAGATTCAGACTGCTGCGACGGATTTGGGAGTGCAACTCGGTGTGTCTTCGCTTGTTATGAAGAACCTGGAGGTGGCGAAAGCGTACGGCGAGTCGGTTGGCCGGCAGCTGGACGTCTCTGCGCTTTATGGTGCGGTGAGGATGTCGAATGGGCTTCCTTTTGAGACAGAGTTTGTGAAGAAGAGAGACGGTTCTTCTTGAAGGATACGGTGGGAGGGTATGCAACTTCGCAGTCAGTTATCATTATGATTCACGGGAACAGCTACAAACTCCAACGAGACATCATCCTAGATAGTCTGATGTTCCACATCCATTGAATTTTTCGACTAATCGTACACACAGTACGGAGGCACGTGAGAGTACTATAAGGACATAACACAACCTGATATAATGTTAGTCCTGAGGACTTGAGGTTTACTTGTCGTTGGACGTCAGCCGCTTGGAAACGCTATGGCACTCACATTACCTGCGGTTGCTGCTAGCCTCAGACTGCCATCTACAAACGGGTCCTATGAATAACGCTTATATACTGGCAGCGATGAGTGATAGTATCATTCTATCAAACCCACCTTAGACAGGAAGACAGGGGGTGTAGTGACTGTCATAGGCCTAGGCACGGGACTGGACACGGGTCCAATGCCTGGTAGACATCATTACTAGGGTAATTAACACCTGGGCCTACTTGGTTTCATCTGAAGGGAAAGTCAAACGGAACGACAACGCTTGGAGCAGGGGAGTTTGGTCAGCTTGCCGATAGGGTTACTCCTGGGAGATAATCGCTATGAATGGGATTCTAATCGATCAAAAGTCGGGCTGTTCTAATTGTATGATCTATGTTCGTGGCTGAGAGCCAACAGACTTATTTCGTGGGCATCTTCTAACTTAATACACGGTGTCTCAGTAGGGTCAGATAGCTGACACACTTGTTCCTGTGAGACGAGATTGCCTTGCCGCCTTCAACTTGAAAGGTCTGGGTTTCGCCCCAGCACCTCCGACGAACGGTTTTTTTTTCACTTCTTTTTACAACACTCGCACTGGAAATTTCGATCAGCCACGATGCTCTATCTGTTGGAAGAGAGATGGCTTACCGTGACATGACTGTTGGTAGCAGATGTTACAGACTGGCAACTTCCTTCACGACTCACGTACTCGTCAGAAGCACAGGTCGATGCCATTTCCAACCCATAGCAAGTTTGAAAATTAGTCTGGGAAATATCGTCAGTTAACGTCAAGTTCCTCAACTGCCATTGGTCTCTCCAGAAGAACTTACGCATGGCTGCGTGACGGACCTGCAAGTGGCGAAGATTGCCGGAACGTTGCAAATGACGAGAAGCAATGTGGCGGAACGCATTTTTGATGAGCAGATTGTAATTGCAAGAATAACGCGAGCTCGAAGAGTGTGAGGGGACCTGGTTAATGTCGAAGTCTGATAATGATGTCAAAGAAGTGTGTAAGTTGACGTCGTCTATCCGACTATTTATCCTTCCGGTTGTCAAATCAAGTCTTTGGCTCTCCCCCAACGTTGGATAGATACCGACACAAGAAGAATTGCGACTCGTCTTCGGAGAGTATCATCATCACCGACGGCGTTTGACCATCCGCCGGCAATCGAATTAGGGTCTCAACTCCTGGCAAATTGATACGATCGACTATAACGACTGGTGGAGACTGTTGGTATAATCTGCGAGTCCACCGCTGTAAAATGGCTTTCCGAATCTGCCGGGTTGGTGTCGCCGAGTCATGAAGAAACCCTTTTTTAGTAGTAATACATTCCTCAAATTCAGGCTTGACTATATGTGTATCTCACCGCAAAGTTGGTCGCTGACTGACATGTCTGTCGGCTCAGTATCACTCATATAAAGACCATATCCGTCATTCGCAAATCAACATCGGCCGTCTGCGCCTACTGATGCTTGCGTGATTAAGGAATGGCGGCGCACAAATTGGACACTGCATGCCAAGATAGGAACAGTCATATGGAAGAGCGACGAGTGGAAAAAGGAATAAATCTCAGGATACATAACATGATAATGAATACGGTAGCTTAGCTAGCTCACATGCAAAGTCGTCTGATCTGGCTGGAGAGCTCCAGGGTGTTGCAGTAGCTCAGCTTACTTCAATCCAATGCTTTCTTCATACGATGAGAGGTCTAAACACGAGCAGAGCCACTGCAGCTCGTCACAGTAATGGCCTGCTATCATAATTGTATTCCAGCTCATGGAAACGGACTCCGAGTGTCTTCATTCGGGTCAGAGGAGACGGCGCACGTAATTGGGGCCGTAGGTGCTGAGGGTTGGTGGGCAACTCTTTCCCCATGCGGATAATATATGCAGGCCGTTGCCTGGTCGCTCCCCACCAATCAGTGGAGCTCTGGCTGAGAGCTCTCCCAAACCTCAAAATTTCATTCTCCAAACGCGCCTGGCCAGCTGTCTCAAGCGCGCTCATCCATTGACAACACCTTCGAAATCCCCTTCACCGTTGCGCCCAACCCCGACTACGACTGGACGCGACCACGAAAATTTTACGATATGTCGCTCTTCGGCAACAACCCTCTGGGGGGTCTGGGAACCTCGACTAGCGGAACCCAGCAACAGAGCAGCACAGGAGGAGGTTTGTTTGGACAGCAGAACACGACCAGCACCCAACAGACTAGCTCTACGCCTGCTTCAGGCGGTCTCTTCGGAAATCTCAATCAGACCAAACCTGCGACCACCGGCGGTCTCTTCGGCACATCGACGACGGCACAACCGGCGACAGGATCCTCGCTGTTTGGTGCACCTCAGCAACAACAGCAGCAACAAGGCCAGCAGCAACAATCAGGCGGACTCAGCTTGGGAGGCTTGGGTGGGCTGGGAGCATCGACGGCACAAAAGCCATCTCTCTTCGGCGCCATTGGAGGTGGTCAACAAAATCAACCCCAGGCGCAAACGACGGGCTCGACCTTCGGCCAGACTACTGCAAACAACACTCTCGGCGGCTCACTCTTCCCCTCATCGCAGCAACCGCAGCAGAATACAAACAACCAGTCCCAAATCCAGCAGGGTCAACCGTCAGGTGCATACTTTGACAGCCTGTTCGCCAAGAGCAAGAAGCAAGGAGATGGCGAAAATGGCATGGAGGACCTCCCGAGTCTGCAATTGGGCCTGGGCGACCTTCGCCAGCGCTTGAAGAAGCTGGGAACAAAGGCTCAGGAGCGTCCTTCCGATGGTAGAGCGCACTACCTCCTCGCTGCATCTGGCGTGGATCCTTCTACCGCCGCGAAAGACCTCGGATCCCTCGATCTGCAGACTGGCCGTGTCGAGAGACCCTCTGGCTACTCACCCGCCGAAATCGACGTCGAGACGTACCTCGCGAACCTCCAGACGAAGACGACGATGAGCATGATTGCGGACGGCTTAGAGAGATCGGTCCGCGACTTTGATAACTTCTTGGAGGACAACGTGACGATGGAATGGGACGCCCAGCGCAAGCGCATCTACGAGCACTTTGGCATCAAGGCTCGTGAAGAGTCTTCTTTCGGACCCGGTGCGTCGACAAGAGAGGCCTCTGGTGGCTTTGGTCGTTCGCGCCGAAGCAAGAGCCAGGCGACTGGAGCTCGTTCTGGCAGAGCAAGCGTCCTGGGCAAGTCGAGCATGCATCGCTCGGTCATCGGCAACGCAAGCAAGATCGGCTCTCACCAGCCAGAGTTCTCAGATGTTGATCGGTCCACAGACAATGGTGGTTCGTTGACCGGTCACATCAATTCTGACGACAGATCTCTACGGGAGAAGCAGAACAAGCTTTCCGAAAAGGTCCGCAACCTCAATCAGGCGCGGCTCATTGCCCATCCCTATCCCATCCTTTCAGAGCTCGCGGATGTCGAGCACCGGTCTCTGGACCCATATGCGCCACACATCGTTGAGGCGTACCATGCTGTTCGCGAGATCGTCGGAGAAGACCCTGAAGCAGAGACTACCATCAATGGTGCCACTGCGAAGGAGCGGCAATTTGCCAAGATGTACTTGGATGAATCGCCGAACTCTGCCAGCTCGATATCTATGCGAAAGAGGCTGTTGGATGGTGCCAACAGATATCTTGAGAAGCAATTCCTTCAAGAAGTCGAGGCCCTCATCGCAAAACACCCCCACGAAGCCAACCTCGGTGGCCGCCCCGATATTGTCAGCAAGATCAGAGCCTACATCCGGTTACGTTCTGCACGAAAGGATTTGGTGCCTGATAACACAGACCTTCAGCAGACTGGTGGTGAATATGTGTGGGCCATCGTCTTCTACTTGCTACGCTCTGGTCACGTCAGCGAAGCTGCGACGTATGTGAACGATAACGGCAATCAGTTCCGCAGCATCGACCGCACATTCCAGAGCTATCTCAACGGCTATGCTTCTAACGAAGACCGCCGCTTGAAGCGCACATTGCAGGATAGATGCAATGCCGAGTACACTCAGCGTGTGCGCAACGCTCCCGACAACTCCATCGATCCCTTCCGGATGGCTTGTTACAAGATTATTGGTCGCTGTGACCTGAATAATCGGAGTCTGGATGGCCTCAACACCGATATCAACGACTGGATTTGGCTTCAATTCAACCTTGCTAGAGAGGGCGACCGTTCTGTTGAGGTGGCTAGCGAGGCTTACGGCCTTTCCGAACTGCAGTCCAGTATCAAGGAAATCGGAGCCAAGCACTTCCCCAAGACCTCTGCGGAAGACAACAGTGGCAGCTTTGGCATGTTCTTCTACCTCCAGGTACTGTCAGGCATGTTCGAGGAGGCCATTGCGTACCTTTACCCCTTTTCCTACGTCGACGCAGTCCACTTCGCCATTGCTCTCGAGTACTACGGCCTCCTCCGACCTTCCGATCCTTTCAGCGCCTCCAATGATCTCCGCAGCTTGAACGTCAAGGATTCTGTTCAGATCAACTTTGGCAGGATGATTGGCTACTACACAAGGGACTTCAGAGCAGCCGACGTTGTGTCCGCTGTTGACTATCTGACTCTCATTTGCCTCAACATGGACTTGTCTGGCGAGGCTGGCCGTCGTCATGCTAACCTCTGCTGGGAGGCCCTGCGCGAGCTCGTGCTCGAAACGCGTGAATTTAGCAAGCTCATCGGCGACATCCGCCCTGATGGCCAGCGGATACGCGGTATCATCGAGGAGCGCGGTTCTTTGATCGGTCTGACGGAAGAGAACGACTTTATCAACACCGTC